TAGACTTCATTTCTAACAGTTCCGTTTGACTCTTTTGTAAAACATGTAATTCCTCTTTTAGATCTTGCAAGAATTTCCTCACCTCCTGGAACTCGTCAACTTCTTTCTCCTTTCTCTTTAGCAGCTCATTGTCTCTCTTCTCTTCCATCTCAGTTAGCTTCGCCATTATGAATGTTCTAAATTCTTTATCAGACATTCCATGATTTGCATTGAACTGCTTGTTGATGAGGAGTTATTCTTTTCCCTTGGAGGAGAGGTATTTTCTTGCTTTCCCATATTTCTTGTGGTCCTGCAGTGATTTCTTGTCATCTGATGGATGGTCTTTTTCTTTTGAATTCTTGAAGTTCAATCTCAGTGTTCAGGAGCAAGCAGAAAGAGGTGATCTGGAATCTCTTTGCCATTCTGTTGTGATCGCTGGTGCAGCAGATTCAGTAGATATTGAGGAATATGTTAACCCTAATAGTATTTCAATGCTTAGCTACAGTGCTCTTAGATCCATCTAGAAACACATTGAATGGATATTGAAGAGTGGAGAGAAAAAAAAAGAAAATGAAAGAGAGAGAGCAGCAACGACAAGGAAAGAGAAAAAAAGACAAAAAAAAAAAAAAAAAACCCAAAATTGTAATTTTTGTTTTTCTTAAAAAAAATCCAAAAGCAACAACAACAAAAAAGATTTAAAAACCCAAAAAATAGAAAACCGCGTGGCGCACTCCGTGCCGTGCGAAATGACTAGTTAGCAGGAGCTATGAGGAATCCTCTTCTGAAGGCCTCAACTCTTCTGCCTGGGCAGAAGGACTAGAGGGGATTATTAACAAAACAAAAGGTGGAGCTGGGAGCAAGAGAAAAACTTTACCTTTAAAAAAAATGTAAAAAGGAAAACTTACAAAAAAATGAGAGGACAGAAGCAGAGAAACAAAGACAGAGGCACAGAGACAGATAGAAGGCCAGAGGGGCTTCCTACCACGCTAGCTTTGTTTGCTGGACACTGAATTATCGGTAGAAAATCTTCATTTTTCCTATCCCCTGCAATGACTAGTTAGGAGGAGCCATGAGGAATCCTCTTCTCCAAGGTGTGTTTTTTAAGCCACCAAAGCTGCAACTTTTTTAAACCACTGAAGCTGCAACTGAACCCTGGTTGGGACTCTGGTTTTCTCTGCATAGCTCTTAACTACTACACTACTGGATTGGCCCTGATATCTTTCATTTTAAGATAAGGAACCTATTGTAGGGAAGTTCATTGCCAGAACAGAAGTCAATTTTTAAAAATTTAAAGTATTTTTCCATCTTTTTGGCTATTATATTGTTGACAGGAAATGTAGTAATTATGAACTTTCATTTCATTCTGTAAGAAAAGTGAAATAGTGGGACCAGCAGTTAGCGTAATGGCTATGTCACTGAACTCCCATGTAGTCGACTGTGGGTCGAGGCCTCGAACCAGGGATTGGTTCGAGTCCTGGACCCAGTGATTTAAACTCACTCTGGGTGCGTGTACGTGCATGCCCAAGATCCTAAGAGGAGAATGGAGGAGAAGGGATTGCGGCTGGGGTGATTTCTTGCTTTCTATCTCTCTGTCTCTCTCTGTCTCTCTCTGGTGAGTGTACACGCCCAATAGCAAAAACCTCTCCAAAAAAAAAAAAAGAAAAGCGAAATAGCTTTTAATTTTCTGAAGACATTTAAACAAAATACTATATAGCAAAAACATAAGGACATAATAATTATTAATTTGTGTGTGTCCTTTTTTTAAAAAAACAAATTGCCCAAGGATGTGTTTGTGTGCCAGAAAGTGAGAGAGGGAGAGACAATGAGATTACATCCCCTCAATGGGGCATCCTCATGCCACAAACCCTTCTTCTCCATTTCTCTATTCTGTTGGGACTTTGGGCATGCATACATGCACCCAGTGTGTTTTTCTAGCCACTTGGACGGTGGTTGGCCATGTGAGGCTTCTGTCACTCCTGGATTACAGGGCTGGCCCTGTGTGCATGCTTTTAGTAATAATTTTTTCTTCAGGTTTTTAAAGTAATAAATATTCTTTATAGAAAATAAATATAACTGTATTAATTGCTCTGGCTGCTGAAACAGATACTGCAGACTGGTTGGCTTAAGCAACAAATATTTTCTCAGAGTTCTTGAGGTTAGAAGTCAGTTCAAGGTAGTAGTAGGATTTATGTCTGGCAAGGTTTTCTCTCCGTGATGGCAGCAGATGGCTGTCTTCTCACTGTATGTGCCTTTCTTCCTGTGTCTCTTCCTCTTCTCATAAGGACACCAGACCTGGTACAGTAGGGTCCTGGAGCTCATTTAATCTTAGTTACCTCCTTGATATCCCTGTCTCTAAATTCTGACCAGTCTCATTGGGCATTAGGGCTTCAACATATGAATTTGTGGGAGGAACAACTTAATCCATAACCTAGAAAAAAGAATAAAGAATAAGAAAAAAATTCTCTATAATACCTTTAATTTCCCAAATATATCTTCTGCTAACATTTTTTATTTCTTTAGTCGTACTTCCTTTGTGTTTCAAAGCTTTGAGATCAGACCATACACTTACATTATACGAAGTGAAGTCAGAGATGCAAGCAGGCAAGGTAGTAAAGTAATGATAGCTAATGTTCCTTGAGCCCTAGATGTATGCCAGTACCTTTCTTAGGGTTTGTATACGTTATCTTTCTCAATCTTCAGAACAATCCTATGATGTATATATGATTATTTCTGTGTTTTAGATTAAGAAAATAAGGCACAGGAAGGAAAGTAATGTTTAAGGATGCACAACTTGTAATGTTAGCATTGAGACCTAGCTGTTGAAATGACCAAAGTGGTCCAGATGGCTACTGTGGTGAACTGGAAAAGAGCATGCTCGATCTAGAAGGGCAGCCACGGCTCATCAAGGAATAGTAGAATAGTGTAGCAGGTCTTTCAGATTTTTAATAGTAGCCAGAAATTGGGATTTTTATGTGAAATGCTTGCAAAATAAAAAGTACTACTGAGTCTGACAGATCTTTATTTTTATTTTGTTAGAAGATACGTGCACTCACCAGAGAGGGAGAGCGTGCGTGCGCTTACGTGCACTCCCCAGTGTGATATGGTCGTACTGCAGTCCTTTCTCTTCCATTTTCCCATCTTGTTGGAATTTTGGACATGCATGTACATGGGCCCAGTGTGTTTTTCAAGCTACTGGGAATGGAACTTGAACTGCGTGGCTGGTCGTGTGGCATCCAGCTCCCATGGCTACAAGGGCAGGGGCTGGTTCAAGTCTGATAAATCTTGTCTACCAATTGTACTCAGAACTCGTTTATAAAATAGAGGTCATAATAGAGTATTTACAATCTGAGTTTATAAAATAGGGATTGTAATAGAGTATCTATATCCTACATTTGAGATTAGAATTAAATTGGGCATTTTAAAAATACAACATTTAGCTCAGTTCCTGGCACATAGTGCTAAGGATATGTCGTTAGTAACACAGACGTTTTCACCGCTCATTGAAATTCTTCATGAGTATCATTGAGTGATCATTGACTACCATTTTTAATCTTAAAAATCATATAAATAATACATGCCTTCAGGCCTGTTGTAAACAACTCAAAGCAACATGGAAATTTAGAGTAAACAAATGAAATTGCATTTGCTTCCTTTCCTCCATATATCATTAAAAACCTTTGATGCTATGTTTCTGGCACTCACTTTTTAAAAATACATCTTGGAGATCTGAAATTCATAAGAAATGACTTCATTTTTTTTTTTAAAGTTGCATGGTACATCCTTTAGTATGGATATACTGTAATTTATTAAACTAGGCCTCTCAGTTGTCACTTAGGTTTTCAAATTTTTGCTGTTACAGAAAAGACTGTGCCAAGACTATAGCTCTGTGAACTTTTTTTTTTTTTTTGGAGGGGTTTTCACTAAAGGGGACGTGTGCCAGCTAGATTCAAATTTTTGCTGTTACAGAAAAGACTGTGCCAAGACTATAGCTCTGTGAACTTTTTTTTTTTTTTTGGAGAGGTTTTCACTGTAGGGCACGTGTGCTAGCTAGACAGACAGAGAGAGACATAGAGACAGAAAGCGAGAAATCACCCCCGGGGGGAGGGCCAAGCTGCAATCCCTTCTCCTCTATTCTCCTCTCTGGATCTTGGGCACGCACGCACACGCACCCAGCGTGAGTTTTAAGCCACTGGGTCTGGGACGCGAACTGTGGTCGACTTCATGGGAGTCCAGCGACATAGCCATTACACTAACTGCTGGTTCCCAAGCTCTGTGTACTTTTGTGACTATTTCTCTAAGCTAGGATCCTGGATGGAATTACTGGGTCAAAAGAATATTAAGAATTTTCACAGCTAATAAGCCTCTGTTATGAATATTTTTAGTAGCTTTGTACTATTCCATTTTATTAATCTACCTCTATTTACTTTATTATATCCTTATGTTAATATATTTAGGTTACTTCTAGTTTTTTTGCCACTATAAATAATGGTCCTAACTATCTGTGAGTAGTATGTTTTTAAAAGATAGTGGAAGTTGTCAGCTGTTAAGTATATTTCTGAGACTTTACTTTCCCAAAGATATTATAAGAGCTATATTATTTTTTAGAAAAAATGTTTTGAGAAAATCATGACCTAGGAATTTAACATTATACTCAAGATTTTTAGAAACTAATGTATATGTTTCATTTTAGGTGGTGTCATCTATAATGAAGATTACTATAAGACAGAAGAGTGAAGAAAGCCTTGTAACACTGTACCTGAATTAGAGATTTAGAAAAGGAAGTTAAAATTAGTCACTTTGGCTTTAGTGTTCCAATTTATATTTATTCTTTGTTCTAAATAGACTTAGGGAGAAGAAATTAAAATTCAGTGTTCTAACACAGGGATCACTAATACTTATTCTGGCCATTTTTTCTTTTTGTAAGAGGGAAGAAATTATATAAACAATAACTATAGTGATTCATAATGAAATACACTAAACGTAATTTTATGATGTCAGTTCTTGGCATTATAATATATATAACTGATTTAATTGTCGATATCTGGGTATCTGTCAGGTTTTTCCATGAAGGACAATATGTTTTTGGTGTTTTTACATTAAGCTTTATGCTTTTTGGAACACTCGTGGTTCAGTGTTTTAGTTATTCTTGGTTCAAAGCTGATTTAAAGAAAGCAGGCCAAGAAAATCAGCGTTGCTTTCTTCTGCTTCATTGCTTGCAAGGAGGAGTTTTTACACGGTGAGTATACCTTTTGATCATTAACACTTTTTCTTTATCCAGTGGGACACAACTTTTCTGATTCTGCATAGTCAATGTACAAAGGTCCTCTATTTGCATTTAGCACAAAGGTCACTTGCTCTGCACTCTGGGTGTTTATATGAGTCATTACTGTGCTGTCAGAATAGATTGTTTAATTTACTTAACTGTTACATGTACTCGCTTTTTCATGGGAAGGAAAGAGACTTATTTCTGTCTTGTGATACTTTTGTTTTCTGTGTATATGCTAAACCTGATTGTGTATCTATAGCCTATCCCTTGCAACTCTGAGAGAGCACTTCAGCTTTTAAGTTACTTTTAGCATTGATTTAACTAAATGAATAATTTTTTTTTTAACTGCAGTAATGCATTAGTCATGTGGTTAGGTAGGTGTAGAGTCAAAGAACTAAAAACAATCTTTAGAATCACGCTATTTAAAACCTAAAGAAACAAGGATCTAAGTAGACCTTGAGAATCCTCTGATTCCCTGTATGTCTCATTTCATATTACCTTTTCACTGTTACCCTAGAGAGTTCATTCTGTTAAAAGCAATGTATAAAAAGAGAAAAATTAAAGAAAACTATTCAAAGAGGATAACATACTGGATTTGTTACTTAGATTTTCTTTTCTTTCTTTTATTTATTTATTTTTTATTGCCAGAGGATTCATGCTTATACCTGAAAGAGACTGAGGGAGAGAGAGAAAAAGCACCTACAACATGGGACCTGATCACATCACAATCCTTTCCTTCCATTTCTCTATTCTGTCAGGATCCTGGGTGTGCGTGCACATATGCCTTGCAGTTTCAAGCCACCAGGACTGGGATTTGAATCACAGTCAGCTATGTGGGATCTGGTATTCTCTATGTAGCATTTAACCATTCCTCTAAGGGACTTGCCCTTCAGACTTATAATTGGGCTAGATTAATAGCTAGCATAAAGGTTAATTTCTGATTCTGTCCTGTTGAAAAACAAATTCAGGGCCATTTGTAGAAATTATTCAGAAAATCTCAGGCTTTTCTTATATTGATAATAATCGTCATTACATTTGTGTGGAGATTTATCATTTAAAAGAATTTTTTTGTCTTTTTTAGCTATTTATTTATTTACAGTCATTCACCATACATCAATATGTATACAAAATGAGATTTTCCATCTAGTATACATTGTATATTGGCTCAATCAAGGATATTACCATACATGTTATCATCAACAAATAATTTCCTATTTCTTATATATTTTGCTTTATTTCCCCCCCTTGATTCCCTACCTCTCATCCTCTGCCAACCCCCCTCACTTTGTCTTTTGTATGTATAGTTGTTTTCCATACCTTTTTTCCCCATATTTTATTGATTAACTAAAGATCTTAATTAATTTAAAGACTTTCAATAGCAAGAACAACTGATATATACATATTTATGAACACATTTCTGACTTTAGGGGTATACCTCAGTGAGTAAAGTGGAAATACTATAAAGTAGCATCTCACTGGGGCTATATAGCTTACTGCAGTCATTAAATAGGTATTAGTAGGCATTTTTAAATGCATTTTTTACTTTAAAAAAGTTTAGTTTTAATAGATCAAAATAAAAAAATGTTAAGAGAAATTTACTTGAAACTTAAAGCCAGGAAAAAGTTTAGGATTCAGTTCAAATAGTAGGTAGATGAACCTATCAGCAGTTCAAAAGAACGCAAAAATCCTTAAATATGGAAATCAAAGCATCAAAGAAAATTAGTAATGTTTTAGAATAAAGTAAAAAAAATTTGTTTCACTAGTTCAAGTAATTCTCTTCTTTTACCATAACATGTATGGTAATATACTCATGTAATTAATCTCTTCTATTTAATTTGTAGTGTTACCATTTGCAGTGGTCTGATGTTTCTATTTGAACTCTGGAAATTAACCTTCAATTTCAGACTTGTCCCTACCATTAGGCTGGTCACTCTTTTGGTTGTTTCTTGTACTCTTATTTCTGTGTGTCTGACTTTAATTTTCCTGTTATAGCATTACCTTCAGCACTCCTTGGAGAGATGGTCTGGTGTTGGTAAATTCTATCAGGTTTTGTTTATTGAGAACGTTTTTGTCTTTTTTCCATATGAAAGATAATCTTGCTGGGTATAGTATTCTTGGTTGAAATTGTTTTCACTTAACACTTTGAATATATTTTGTTTCCTTGCATGCATTGTTTCTGATGAGAGGTCTGATGTTAGCCTGATGGGATAACCTTTGTAAGTAACTTGACCTTTCTGTCTTGCCAATTTTAGTATTTTGTCTTTGTGGTTTTGGTCAATTTGGCTATAATATGCCTCAGGGTTGATTCTATGTGGGGTCTTTATCAATACCCTTATTAGTTTCTTCACCTTCTGGGATACTGATGATCTGAATGTCTGAGCATTTAATGGTATCTAATATTACTTGTATGTTATTCTCAATTTTTTTTTTGGATTATTTTCTCAGTCTTTTTGGTAAATTTTTCTAGGTCAGATGTTCTATCTTCTACATCTGAGATTCGATCTTCTGCTGATCTAATCTGCTTTTGATATTTTTCAGAACAAGTTTTGATTTCCTGTATTACAGCCTTTGGCCTTCATCTCTAACAATTCTATGTGATTCTTTTTTATGATGAGTATCTCCTTTTTCAGATTGTGCAAGAACTTTCTCACCTTCTGGAACTCAATGTCTCTTTACTTTTTCTTTTGTATCTCCGAGGTGTTTTTTTTTTTTTTGTTTTTTTTTTTTTTTTTTTTTTGCTATAGGGCGTGTGGTGTGCCCGCCAGAAAGACAAAGATGATAGACAGAGAGACAGAAAGCAAGAAATCACCCTCCAGGGGGAATGGCCACGCCACAGTCCCTTCTCCTTCATTCTCCTCTTGGGATCTTGGGCACATACGCACGCGCGCCTGGTGTGAGTTTAAGCTGCTGGGTCCAGGACTCGAACCGTGTTTAAGCTGCTGGGTCCAGGCCTCGAACCGTGGTCGCCCACATGGGAGTCCAGCAACATAGCCATTACGCTAACTGCTGGTCCCCTCAATGTCTCTTTTCTCCTGCATCTTCTGGAGTTTGTTGTCTCTATACTCTTGCATCTCTGTTAGCTTTGTTATTATGAATATTTTAAATTCTTTATCTGACATTTCCATGAGTTCCCTTACATTATTTATAGAGAAAGATGAAATTTTCTTAATTTCTCATATTTCTTGTGCCTCTGAGGTGGTTTCTGGTCATCCGATGGATTATATATTTTTTTTCCTGACTTCTGACTAGACTAGGGAGCAGGAGGGTAAAGTCTGGGCAGAGGATCTTAGGTGGTTGAAATCCTTGAATGGAGCCACTCAAAACTCAAATATAGATGGCCGCTGATTGGCTTATCCTGACTCCTGGCTAGACTGGGGAGCAGAGGGGTGAAGTCTGGGCAAAGGGTCTTCGGTGCTCAAAAATCCCTGAATGGTGCCACTTGGAACTCCAAGATTTATAATTTTAAAAGTATTTTCAATAACCTTATCTTTTTTTATAAAAGGATTATTTTATTTAACTTTCTTTATCTACTTACTTATTTATTTTAATTTGACCAGAGAAGGGCAGAGTGAGAGAGGGAGAGGGAGAGAGAAAAACGTGAGAAAGCAAGCTGCCAGGTCTAGGACTTGAACCATGGTCAACCATGTGGGATTCCAGTGCCCTTAACCACCACGCCACTTGCCATGTCCATTAAATATATTTTTTGAGCTAGAGTTATTAGGGTTGTAATTTGTAAGAGAAGTAAAATGTGCAGTGAGAAAAAAGGTTACAAGTTTTAGGGAAGCTGAAAAGAAGATACTTTCGTTGTTGGTATTGGCAGTCAATTTTAGAACTATACATTTTCAGTATGATGAAAATATTTAAAGAAATGGAGTAAAAGCTAATGATGATTAGTAAATAGATGTGTAACAAGTATGATTTGATGAGAATTTGATGTGACCAATAATAGAAATTATTATATATAGTTGTAATATCTTTAGATATATAATTTCAGATATGTAATACTGAAGAGGAATAAATACTACTCTTGCCTAGAGTTTAGAAATATGATAAACTCTGTTATTGTGGGACTTTTTTCACATTTACAGAACTATCTTCAATGGTGTTTCAAATGACGGCTTTAAGGTACTCCATAATACTGTGTTATATAAATTATGAGTGGAAAAAAAATTTGTCTTCATTTTCAGTGTGTCTTGATATGTATAATAATTTTTAATTGACTGATAGACATTATAAAAATCATAGACTCATAAAACAGGATACTGTTTTCTCTTTCTAGGCATTTAGCTTAAGGGTCAGTCTACTTTTGCTTTCCTTCTGCTCCTAGGATATATTCTCTAGGGCTCTGAGATTCTGGTGTGGTCATCCTCACCCCTGTATACTGGTCCTTACCTCCTTGGCACTAAGGCTGTTAGAAACTCTTTATTTGCTTTTCCAAGCCTTTCTGTTTAGCTTTCACCTCTGTCTTGTGGTTTTAAAATTTGGTAAATACTTGGGGAGAAAACTGACTGAGCTTAAGATCCCTCAGTTTATACTCCTGCAAGACCTCTAAAACCTATGCTAGTTTTTCTGTTTCCTAACAATAGCACCTAGCCTAGGCAGAAATCTGATTTTCAATATCATGTTCTGAGTAACAGAATCAGCAAGTACCCTAAGCCCTGTAGAAATGTCAGCTCAGTTTCTAGTTTCTCTAGTTGTTTGGACAGCAGCATTGGCCTTTTCCAAAATAATGCATTCTGTTTTGAAGTATAGTTACTGTGGATGGTAGTATCGTTGACTTGCTTGACATGCAATGCCTTTATTCTTTGAGAACTCATATCATATGTTGTAAAGATGCACAATGATTAAGTGTAAATAAAAAGAAATATAGTCCATAATGTACAATTTTAAATTATCCCAAATATAATACTAAACCTTTACTATTAATATAGACTGCAAAATAATTGAATTCCATTTACTATGTTTCTAAT